CGAAGCGGACATCCGCGGACTGGTCCGCACAGAGATCAATTTTTTACATCCGCGTCTGCGGTGCACACAATAAACCGCCTGGCAAGTACTGTTCTCGGTGTGACACCAAGTTGATAAAGTTGAGAATCTCTGTCATTTGTGGACGAAACGGAGTCAAATCTTGAAAAGCGTCTCATGGAGGAGATTAGAAAACTTTATGACGCGTCAATGAAGGAATATAAAGACTTTCAGCGAGCAACAAATTCATGGGAGGAAATAGCTTAGATCCTGGGTAAGGTGGTCCTTTCCTTTTTTTCTTTTATTGTTTTAAAAGCCAAAACGCAAACTATCTCTTCCTCCTGATCCTTGACATCATGACTGAAATTGCGAGAAATTAAAGAATTCGTCAGGCGGTCAGTACGCTCGAGTATGACGTTTCAACCGTCAGCGGACAATACGCACGGAGTCCGTGCGGCTCACGGACCGCACACAGTACACCCGAGTATGTGGGAGCCTTAAGACTAAACACATAGATTTAGAATGAAATTAAAATAAATAATAATTATAAAAAAATTAAGTAAAAAAATGATTTGCAGGCCGATGAAAGTCACCTGCAGGACACATACGGCCCTCGGGCCAGCAGTTGCCCATCCCTGGTCAATGTCATAATGACCACATAAACTCTGTACTCAGAACTTAGGTCGTTGTGGAAATATTTATTTACAGAGATATGGTCCAAGAATGAAGAATGAAGGTAGTCTGTTGAATGGTCAGCTGAGTTTTATTGCAACAACAGGAACATAGAGAACAGCATAGAGCCATCAGACCGTCCCCCACCTCCCTGTCCCCACTCCTGCCTCCTTTGAAGCAGTTGCAGAAGCCTCATGTTTGAGAAACACTATTATGTCATTTTGATGATTTCATCTTAAGGAAATGCTGAGTCAAGGGAAAACAAAGATAAATACAAGTGATATACAGCATGAAAAACTGGGTCATTAAAGTATGTCATGAGTTATTGGCATAAACCAAGAAGTATTATTTCCATTACAAGGTAAATTTTGCCACCCCCCCAAAAAAACAAACAAACAAACACAAACAAAAAGAATTTTTTTAAAAGTAAAAACAATAATTTGTAGGCCTGATAGAAGTCACCTGCAGGCCACACATGGCCCATGGACCACCATTTCCCCATCCCTGGTCTATGTCGTAATAATCACATAAACTCAAAGGTACTGACACTGAAGCCGACATGAATAAAATAGGTTTTACAAAATTTGCCAGCAATAATAAGCGTGAAGATGATCCTGAGTTGCTGTCGATTTACATTAATGAAAGACTTTTTGCTTTTTTCACAGGTGACAGAAGGAGAAAAGGCTTCTGTTGTTCCCTAATGAGTCGTCATGTTATCTCCACTGACCTCCGTCCTCCACAGCTCAGCTCAGAGTTCCCTGCAGCTACTCCTGTCATATGATGTTGTTTTCATGTCTGAAGCCTTTGATATCTGCTAAGTGGAGACAGAGTTCGAGCCACTTTTCAACNCTCCTGACCTCAAGAGACGTCAGAGTAGTTTTTCTCCTTTAAAAGGTGCTGTGATCACAAGACATTCATGCAAGCATGACTGTAACGTATCTGATGAAAATATATATTATATTTTATGTTCTTTTCTGTCTGTTTGCACGCAGTATATGCAGTATTTCCTGTTCTTGTTCCCATCCATTCCCTGTCTGGACAGGCTGCATCCTGCCAGTTACTTTCCCTTTGTTTCCACAAATTAATGTAAAACCCTGCAGCTGGACAGGCAGCTCTGCATCTAATCCTTACTGTAAAAAAAAAATAACTCAGGGTGGTGGTGGGGAAACTATTATTTTTTATTATTTTTAAGTCTTTCTTTTAGCACACCCAGTTCTATTTCTCAATTATAATGATCAGATTCACCAGATTGGCTGAGCAGGCATTTGCAATATGCAGGGATTTATGGAACAGGCACAAAACACCAAATTAAAAAATAATTTCATGACCATAATAGAGCTCAGGGAATGGATATTTAATCACATAAAGAGCTGTTTTTCTTTAGCTGACTGCAACATGGTTGCACTGCATTAAAAAGTATATCTAATTCAGAGTTCTAAATTTAAACAAGAAAGCAAAAGCTGCAAAAATCCTAAAAAACATGCAACAAAGATGAATTTTTTTAACTGAATATCTAATTAGACTGTGATTTTTGGAAGCAGATTGTGTTTTAAAATGTATTTATTCATAACCTTTACACTTGACTGTATTCTGTGAGCGTTATCGTTCCCACAAAACCACCGCGGTTTGAAAAATTACATGAATATAAAATATAAATGGTGGTCAAATGCATTAGAAATATATAAAAATGAAGTTTTTCTTTAAATATTAGGATAATATTGCACTTCTCTATAATAAAGGTGTCCCTGTGTTATAATATCTTCTTTCGGTTTTCAGATCTAAATGTTATGTCTACAGTGGGTGTCAGCAAAGAGAGTTAACTTCACCCCACATAATTTTCAAACAGGAAGACGAGTGTCCTCTGAGCGTACCTGCTTCCTGTTTCTGTTTGACACAAAGGAAGGAGAAACCAGAGGCTTCGGAAAGGGTCGACTTCCAGGTAACCGTAAACAATGGGCAGCAGGTGTGCCAAAAAAGGGTGCAGTTAATAAAAAGACAAGTCTGTTATTCAACAGTAGCCACTATGAACTAAAATATTCCACAAAGGCACAGAAAAATGACCTGATGTTAGGGTTTAGTACTATTAAAAAAAAGGCACCCGAATTTGCAAATTTTCTGAGCTGCAAACAACAGGTGTACAGATGAACATTTCACTGGTTTTAGGATTTAGTTGTTTATGTTTGACTTTGACAGTCCAGCACCTCCTGTTTAGTTCAGGCTTTCTCCAAATGCTGCCAATTTCCTGCTCAGTAATTTAGCCGTCAGTGTCGCCTGAGAGGCTCCATTCACTGACCTGCTACACACATTGGTTTTTCTATCCCTATCAGGACCGTTCAGTGACTTCCGTTCATTTCCAGTCATTTAACCTAACATGATCCCTTACCTAAACCTAACCCCACCAGTACATACATAACCCTAACCCAAAACCTAAACTCAGTTTACAACTCAGTCCTAAACCAACCCCCCCCCAAAAAATGGAGTTCCACTAGGACTGGTCTTTGGTCCCCATAAGAACTGCTGGACTTGACAAGGTAGGTGTGTATACCAGAAATGGTCCTAAAAAGGAAATAAATGCAAGTACAGACACACTAGGGTTGGGCATAATCGTATCGTGTGCAATTAATCATCAGAAAAACACTAATCGGTTACTCTTTGGCACTTGATGATTAATATGATTAATGTCACCAGTCAGAGTCCGCTTGATGCTCCTCTCAGCTTTAAATATGACGAACATTAAAAAAAGTTCTGTAATTTATTTATCAACAGTTTAAAACTTGATGTAAAGCCTGAAGTCTGTAATTTTGACACACTTTGTAACAGATTTTTCCAAAAAGCAAATCTTTCCCACCACATTGGTCATGTATAGGACATAAGGGTGTCCAGGGGATTAAACGTCAAATTAATCGTTATCGGCTAAATACCACAATTAATCGTGATTAATTTTTTTGCCAATATTGCCCAACCCTAAGACACACACGAGTCCTTGCAGCCCTGCAGCTTTGGGCCAAATAAGCCCAACAACACTCTTGCCGTTCTTCTCCCTTGTAAGAAAATGATGGCGGAGCCAGGACACGACTCCAAGGACAGATTTTGTCACACTGAAATGAAATTACAGGAAGCAGGAACACTGAGAATTATGGTCAAAACAAGATTATTGTAAAATCATATAAGAAACCAAACAGGATAACAAAGAAAAATGAGCTTGTTAAGAAGACAAAAACTCCAACACAAAACACAGAGACTGTTATGTTCTAACAATGAGGTTTTGTGTTATTAGGTTGCAAAAACACATTTAAACAACAATTAAAGCAATTTATGTTTCAGAAAGAATAAAGGAAGCAAAACTAACAGCCCAATCTTTTATTTAGGACTTGTTGCAAGGTTATCAGGAATAAAGGCTGGATAAAATCAGACTGCAGATAAAGAGTAACTGTGCTGTCTTAAAAAGCAACTTGAAAAGGGCATCCATCCTGAGGGGACAGGAGAGCAAGCAAAGGCTAGGACGTTAAAGGAAAAAGGTAAAGTGATAATAAATTTACTATTAGTGAGCAAAGAGATCAAAAAAAGGTCTGGCATTGATTAATTTAACATAACATCCTACTGTTTTTTTGAAAGGTTGATCCTTGGAGGTCATTCAACAATGGCAGACTTAGGTGAAGGTTAGAACAAAAATGGATTGGTTTATTGAGTGCTTTGCCACAAACAAAGCTCCAATCTATACGTCCATCTCTTGCTCCATTACTGGTGAACACTGCAAAATGATTGAACATCTCTCCTCAGACGTAGAGTAACTGACTTAGATTGCAGGGTTGCAGTCACGTGACCAGAATGACGTGTGGAATTCAGATGGGGGGCAGGAAGTGATTTGCTCCAGTTCAAAACAGAGAAATGGATCACAGCGAGTACCCTAATGCTCTAAATGGGCTGGCAAAGAGATATCTTGAAAAAAATAAGCCTACATTTAAGATATGATCCATATTGTTTTAATGAAAAATAACTTTTACCCGGCGTCGAGGCAATCTGGTGCTGCAGAAATATTATGCAACAAGTCAGATGAACGCTTTCAAAAACCTCGAAGCCTACGATTATTTTGTTTCAGGTTGGATCAAACATTTAGGATTCGAAGAAGCTTTAAATGGCTGTTGACATGTTTCTGCCCGTGTGAGTAGTGACTTGTGCTATTTTAGTTAACGCTAGCAATGAGATAACCCCTGTTATTTCTATGTGCTTGGATCTGCTTGTAAATAATTTATTTAGCTTCCGTAAACCCAAATTAGAGTAACTATCCAGTAAAATATCAGAAATTTTTATTTAAACAATACAATCCTTACCTGTTAGAAAGTGGTCGCTGCAAACTCTTGCACTGTTCGATTCTGCACCTCCTGTTTTTAGCTGTAGATTGCTGATCCATTTTTGTCATCCTTTTTTGGACACACTATTTTCGAAACACAAAAAAACCCTTTTATATTTTATATATATTTCTCCCGATTGGAGCGATTGCAACAACCGTATACACAGAATTTAGGCAGTTTAATGTTGGTTTAACAGACGGAAGCGGGGCTGCATTTACTTTCTGCTCCTGTCTGCATTTCATGACGTCGATACTTCATCATCAGCAACCCAGCAATTCACTGCAAGAGCATAACCTGAAGATGAAAACAGCATCACATCGTCCGCAAAACAGCAAATATAACATCTGCAACATATGCATCTCTGATGTTATGTTTGAATGACAATAAAGTGAATCTAATCTAATCTATCTAATCTAAAATAAGCCCCTGAGGTTCCCAAACCTGTATGTTTTGAAATCCTGTCCATGAATGCCTCATAGAAGATCTGAAACAAATGATAGCCCTGGCAGAGTCCAACCCGCACCAGGAAAAGCTCAGCTTTGTGCCAAGAATGTGGAAGCAGCTTAATTTAGGCTGTACAGGGAACGTATAGCCCATAAAGCGACCCTTCTACCCCTAAACCTTTCTTATAATCCAGTCCAGGCTTCTCCAGGTTCACAAAACACATTTGGACTGGCAACACTGCATAGGGAAAAAAATCTGGTCTTTTTAATCTGATGTTTGACAACCAGTGGATTTTGTTTCCAACACCCCTGGAGTAAACGTTCCCAGGAAGACTAAGCAGTAGGGATCGTTGATCACTCTATCAAAAATATATTGATCAATACACTTTTAGATGTTCACTTTCCCTTATATTTTGAACATCTAAAGGAGATATTTTGTTCAACAAAGCAAGTTTTTTTATACGTTGCTTGAGAAATTATAAGGAGCTTTCTTATTTTAGTGTTACAGCCTTGTGACACTGCCAGCTCGACTGAAAGACGCTTTGAAACTGAATAATGATCTCACAAGAAAGTTACAGAAAAGTAAGTGAAGACATGATATTTTACATCTAGTTCTCCTCTTTCTGGATTTCAGCAGTCACTGCAGCCTTTCCTGCTGGGGCCGTGTTCTCCTGGTCTCTGTAATCAGCTTTGTTTGTCGCGTCAGGAACAAACCTAAAGCCTCAACCTTTCCGGCTGCCTGCTGGCTGAGCTGAATAAGTCAAAAAGAAAATGAGCCCCAAAATGAGAGGGGTGTGTGAGAGAGCAGCTGCCGACAGGGAAAATGTCAGAGAGTAAAAAGAATATGTAAAAAATAAAAAATACCCCGCTCGCTCCAGTGGCTTTGTCCCATTGGCTGAGGTCCTGACCGGAGCCGGCGGCAACCGATCGCGTCGCTGTGTGAAACACGGCGGGAGGAAGGTGGGGCCTCCGCTGCTTCTTGTCGCGATGGCAACAGGTTCACAACCATTTGCATCAAGTCTGCCAATAAACGCGGTGCCAGTTCTCTTCTTGCTTCATTCTCAGTTGTTAAATTGACTTAAGTTTGGCCGTTTAATATTAAAACGGCTCTTTGTTTCGAACGCACTCTTGTTTGATTACTTTTGTTCCTCGTCGTTCTTTCCCTTCACTCCATCTTCCTCTTCTGACTCTATTCATCTTCCGTCCTGATCCTTCCTTTCCCCTCCCCTCCTCTTCACTCTTTTCAGTATTCAACAGAGTCCATCCTAAGTGGATTGGTGGTGTGCCCACTTAAAAGGAGTGGAAGAATCACACCAGTAATCCCATTGTGACAGAACAAGAGCCGAGGCCGGCCAATGTGCTGAAGTATGTGTGAGTGTGCTCGAAATAGACTGAGTGTGTGGCATTTTTTTTTTCAATGTGGAGGGGGAAAAATACATTTTGAGAAAAAAAAAGGGGGAAAGAGAGAGGGATATTCTAGTGGATGGAAAAGACGGGGAGATAGAGCGCTCTTTGTGTGTGTGCCTTGTTAAATCAGGCATATAACGCCAGCTTTTAGAAGAAAGCCTCTCTAGACTCCTGCGATAAGTGGCAGGCTTCTCTGATCCCAACATGAAAGGCTCAAGCTAAAGAAAAGGGAGAAAGGTGGAGGAATAAGTGGAAGGGAAATAAAAGGACATTAAAATAGGAAGAAAAGAATTGGGGATCACTGAGATCTGCCCACAGAGAAAGTGGTTTTTTTTTTTTTTTTTTCATTTCTATGAGAGTTTTAGGTTTTACTATCAAAAAGTGTTAGGGGGAGGGGAGATATGACAGATTTATAAACCAAAGAAAGCATCACGTTCACATAAGAGCAGTGTCTTTTATTAGAACATATTTTATTTACTTTAAAAGCTTCTCAATCAATACTATGTTGGTTTTTCAACCATTAATTGTAGATTTCACCTCAATCATTTCAAAATTGAAGTGTTTTATTGCCTTTAAGTTTAGCTTATTTAAATAGTTTCATTTTCTGTGGAAAACAACAGCATGTTGTTATTGAGGCATGAAAAGTAACAAAAGTAAATTATTTCCCTTTAAAACTACCATGCACATTTCATTTTACTGTCAAAAGTTAACGTGGCTTTGCTTCAGTTCTTTACAACAGTTTTGGACCTTTGAATGGGCTGCACACATTTAAAAAGGAGCTATTAAAACTGAGAAGAGCAACAGTTACTTTATCAGCAAATGAAGTTTAATTAGTGCAGGTTCACTTTTCCAGACTATTAAAGAATGGACCATTACATCAGGAGACCCCCATGCACCTATAAAGCAGAAGCCAGAGGGCATTGGGGCTTAGCCCCCAGCAGATTTTCTAAATCTCAACACCATTTATACAGTACATTCACATCTGGAATGAAATAGTTTTGTACAATTAAGGTTCTGTCCAAATTCTACCCAGTCTAGGTGAAATAAATAAAATGGTAAATGGACTGAACTTATAGAGCGCTTTATCAAGCCCCTCCGGACCCCAAAGCGCTTTACACTTAAAGACATTCACCCATTCACGCAATGATGATGATAAACTACATGATGGGCCAGGTGCTTGGTCGACTGTGAAAACCGGAAAAAGGTGGCTGTGAAATTGGACGGTCTAGCCTTCTGCTTTACTCCCGCCCTTACCCCAGCCTATGTCCTGTCGCCTAGCAAAATATCAATATATTAGTTTTATAAATATCATAAAACAACAAAATTAGCTTCAATGCGATATTTGAAGAACTAAGGGACCTGCTGCAGGTGCACATTTATTTTGCTGTACCAGTTTGTTTGATTTCTGACAAGAATAAAAAAAATCACGTCTATTCAAATGACAAAAACAATAACATCACAACCACCTGAAACTTTTGATTTTTATATCACAAGACTTTTTTTTAAAGCTGCACTCCTTTCTCTCGCTTCGTCTGCTATTATGAGCTAAAAAAAATCTCCAGTCGACCCGCAATGCATTTGATTTGATTTGATTTATTTATTTAACAGGGAAAGATTATTAAAAATCAAGCCTGACTCAGCATAATTGCTGTTTTACATCAGGTTCCTGTTCTGCAGCACATAAAACACTCAGAATTACAGCATCACAATCACATCATTATACACCATAGACACAAAGACAAACAAGCATACCAAATTTCAGGAAGGCAGCATTTGCAAAATAGGACGTCTAAATATGAGCACAACAAAAAGTGTCCAGCAGATGGCAGACAAGATTCTTCTTAAAGGGCTGTAGTTTTGAAATGGACTTTATGTTTTGAGGAATGTCATTCCATGCTTTAGTATAAACATAGAAGAAAGACCTCTGGCCGTAACAGTTTTTAAAAGTTGGTAATATCAGTTGTCCTTTTGTAACAGATCTAGTTGAATGACCGCTTCCAGAATTTGATTTGGGCAGCAATGCACAGAGAGTTCCATAATTGGCACCTTGGAAGATCTGAAAATATAAATTAATACCACTATACAAAACATAATTCTGAAAAGTCAAGGCATCAGACAATGAAAGAACTGTACAGTGATGAGTCCAACCAGGAAGTTTTTTATGAATATTGTAGGCCCTGTTGTAGAGCCTAACTATGGGTTCTAAGATTTCATTTGTTGTAAGAGACCAAACAGGTAAACAGTACGACATGGTTGAGAGTATAATGGCATGAAGATAGATATTTGAAACAGAAGATGTCAGATTGGATCTAATTTTTGAATGTATAATTTCTGTTTCAACTTAGTTTCAACTTATTTTGGGAAAGGATGGGCCGAGAAGGATCCATCGGACCCGTCCCTCAAATCAGGTTAGAAAAAGGAGAACGTATTTGTGGGCCGCATTGAAGGAGTCTTCGTATTTGGATAATTTGGCCTTCGGAGGATGCAGCCCCTGAACTTGGACACAGCCTAAAAGAGAATCTTAGCAGTCTGCATCATATCTTCAAACATCCGCTGTCAGTGATGAGAGATGCAGCTGTGGAGTGAAACAGTTCTAGGTGGGGTCTGGGGGTATACTCCACAAGAAAGTAATTTTTTTAAATCTAATCAAAAATATGCATTTTACAGTTATTTCAAGAGATTTTTTTAATTTCTTTTTAGTGTGCTTGTGTATGTGTCTGTCTGGTATTGAATATTTGTTTTTTATCTTTAACCGGTTTAATCCTTCCTGCAGGAGTAGCAATGGGTGAGACCTGCTAATTTCCTGTCTTTTTAAAAAAATTCATGTTGATGCATATTAATCGGGATTATTTAAGCTGCCTCAAAACAGCAATAAATGGGTTTAATTATGACCCTGGAGGACGGTTTTATTTCTTGTATTGACTCGGAGGTCCTTGTTAGGCAAACAGTAATATTTCTGAATACACACACGGAGTACAGATCACAGGTCCTGTTCTGATCCGTGTCCTGCTCTTTTGGAGCCTTGATCCACGCGCAAACATCAACAGCCGCTCTTCTCTCATATAATCTCTTTTCCTTTGATTCTCCCCCAGTTTTCCTCCTTCACACGCTCATCTCCCACCAGGAACAAACACACCTATCTGTCATTTCTGACAGGCCTGTTTTCTTCTCCGTGCTCCCACCGCTCCTCCTCGCCCTGTGGGAGGTACGGGGCGACGCGTCGAGCCTGAAGTGATGTGATTGTTCGTTTTCCGAGCCTCCTTTTGAAGCAGCGATACACACATGCAGAAGTAACGAGAGATCAAACGTACGCAGGTGGCTGAGCAGGTAACGAAGGAGCACACATGCAAACACTGATACACACTCCTCAGCGCACCCCTGTCTGCTGTGGAGGAGGCTCATTCCCACGCTGAGGGGAGTGTGTCTCATGATCAGTCAGCTGTGTGTGTTTGTGTAGGTGGTGTGTGTTTGAGTGTGTATATGGACGCCAAGGGCTCGTCTCTGGGGATTAAACTCGTGTCTTGAGGTCAGACTGAGCTGCACTGCTGAAGTCCACACACACAAGTTAGTTTTTCTATCATCATGGGGACTTTGCACTGACTTCTATTACTATTAATTTCTATAGCCTAACCCTTTACCCTAAACCCAATCCCCACCCAAAATCATCTTCTGTATGTGTAGTGACCAGGCTTTGGTTCCCATGAGGTACAATGGGTTCCTACAAGGCTGTGTTTTTAGAAAATGGTCCTCATGATGCAGCAAAACCATGTCCACACACACTCACGTTAGTTTTTTCTATCCTCATGGGGAATTTGTATTGACTTCTATTCATTTTCCAGTCATTTCTACAGCCGAGCCCTTTACCCTAAACCTACCACCCCGATACACACCTGACCCTAAACCTTACCTAAACTCAATTCACACCTTGGTCCTAGACCTAACAACCCCCGCCATCCAAAATCAGCATCCTTGCCTAGTTCCCATGAGGAGTATTGGGTCCTCACAAGGCTGGGTCTTTTTGGAAAATGGTCCCCATGATGTAGCAAAAACGTATACACACATGCATCCTTGTCTTTGCATCAAACTGAGGCCTTTTTATGGGCTTCCAGTCATTTTTGTAACTGCATTTATGCCTAACCCTGACAATTCCCCAAACCCATTACTACTTTTTTCCTAACCTGAACTAAGCCTTAATTCAAACCATACCTCTAAACCTAACAAGTACAGAAACAAATTGAAAATGACCTCTCTTTGTTGGTTACAAACATGACGGCCCTCACTCTGTAGCAGACAAAGGACACACACACACACACCGTACGACAGACTTGGCAGATATAACTGATGTCTAATAAAAATTATGACTTATTACGGTCCATGCAGTCCTTTGCTCTTTTGCACTCACTGATTTTGCAAAGACGATACATGTTCACTATGTTGTCCGGCTCTAATGTAAATTTTACAAATTCCTGATTCGTGTCTGTTTTCCAAACATCAGTGGGAGAACAGCTGAATACACAGCAGTGCTGTGCTTTGTTGAAGAGTGTTGCATCACAAAAACGGCAGATAAGACTTATATCACTACAGTATTATTGCATATCATTCCACATTACAAATGTATGCATTATATGAAATAGAGATTTTTATCACAAATTGCAAAACACACTCCCGTCAGATGCCGGACTGAATGAAGGAAGTTTGTTTCATGAGTTTTTAATCTGTACACACATTAACCTGCTTTTCCTTGCACAATAAAAACTGAAA